GCAGGAATTCTTGTTTAGAAGCACATGTAAGAAATTTGTTGTCTTCTAGATTAGATGCCTTCTAACAAAATCTAATTTTTGGTAAACACGCAAGGAAAAAATCTCACAGAAAATTGCAGAAATACAGTCCACTTTGCCTAAAAATCTGAAACTTGACTGTGTGACAAAGTATTTGAAAATCATGATCATACTGCTTTCTGAAGAGAGATCATTGATATATAATCCCTACAGTAAGTCCATATGGATAAAACTCTACCACTCATTTGATTATAATCATCTCCTAAACATCCCCCACAGGCCCACAGTACAATTACAGAGACATGAATTGTCTAGCGTCCTGACTTGCATCATGCTGCTCAGTATTACATTGAGGTCAATAGACAGGAAGACTTGGAAGAACAAGGTCAGGACCAAGTTTGCATATGATGCAGAGAATGAGCAAAACTTCAGTTATCCATCTTAGCTCCTCCCTTCAACAGAGCCCAGTAATAAAGTTTTCGTTACCAAAGATTCATATTCTTTTCATAAAGTTACAGAAATACTGTACGAACCACTGCAATGCTTTGCTATAGAAAAATATACATATTAAAATACCTTTGGTAAATCCATGAAGCTTGGACGGGCAGTTGAAATTAGCCCAAGTGTTTTCAGAGAACAATTCACAAGCTGTGATAAAATATCACAAGCTGCTTCTGCAGATTCCTTGCTACTGTCCACCTTAAAACAAAACAGATTTACTGGTTCAGAAAACACTGCACCAAACATACTCTTTGCGAAAAAAGAGTAGAGCAGATGTACTTTTATATTTTTTCACTTTACCTTCTGAAATGTGATGTCATAAAAACCCACAAAACACTTCACTGGGAATCCATCAATGTCATTCCCCCCCCCTCCAAAAAAAGTACATACCAAAAGTCTAAGATAATTTGCTATAAAATTACCACTCTCCTAACCACTTTTGTAAAATTGAGCATGGTGAGGGGGGCAGTTAATCAGTTATGTTCCGAGATATTTCATCCACATCAAATAATAAGCAAGGGGATGTTCAATTTGGGTCCAGAGCCTACCCCACTTCCTCTTTATGTTCTTATGAAAATGCAGGAATTCTATAAACTCTTTACTGTGTGAAAAAGCAGATTCCTTTTGCAGTGACTTAGCTCATAACACAGAGCTGATGGAGAGTTAAGTGCATTATTATAAGAACCTATATGACTGGGCCTTCATCATTAATACCACAACAGATATGCAATGGATACTCTGAAAAAATCTTAATTAGTCAGCTTGTTACACAACCAAATCACTTAATGTGCCTCCGGTGGATTTCGCCCAACGCTTGGATATGCTTTCCAAATAACCTCTTATATACAGTAGGCATGACAGCTTTGCAAACCTACAGAACAGTAAAAAGCTTGACCACGAGATCAATTTTAAGTCTACCATAAGGCATGCTACCTTGTCAGCAACTGATCTAAGTCTGATGAATGTTCATTTTCTGCTCGAACACAAGCTGAAAAACCTTGATTTTCAACAATCCAATCTTTCTTTACCTACAAAAAAAAAAACCCCAAGTTTTCAGCCTTTACAGAGTAATGGTCAGTGTTAGACCCACTTCCTTGTGGTTATTCTTGCCACTTAATATTTCCTGCGATCTAGACCATTCTGCAGCACTGAAGGACAACTGAAGGGACACATGTAAGAAATTATATTGGTGTCATCCTACCACTGAAGGGCATCTGAAATCCTTCAAAAACATTCGGGGCAAACAACGCAGACTAGAGATAGACACTGGAAGATAATTCAATTACTGCTAAAAACTTTCTTTATTCGGACACTGATAAAAACTCTGCAAAACTCGTGATAACCAGTTTATATCTGTCATCGCATCAAGCGGTAGCAATACACATCATCAGGCAGAGGCACCCCAGCTACCACACACCGATGATTCCTATGTTAAAACTGCCAGACCTCAGAAACAAACAGCTAGTATGTCCATCTTGCTGCAACGTCATTTCCTTTCCAAATAGTCACATAGCTGATGCATACACAGCCGTGACTGAAACCATGATGTGAAACCATCATGGTTTCACACCAATCTTCCAGAGTGATATGCAGGCCAGTGTAAAAGGTTTTCATCTGCTGAAAATAATTCCATGATGTTAACAAAGCCTATTCTGACCGAACGGTATTTCTCAGCCAAGTGCAATCAGCATATATACCATTCTGTGCAAATACCATTCACTTTTTCAGTTAACTGAAAGGCAGCTGGGCCGAGGAGATGCCAGATGCAGACAACCCCACACAATTTGGTATTAAAACTGCTAGCTGCTTACTATTAGCACTGAACTCACTCTTTGTGCATTAGATGTTTTCTAACCATGAATGTTAAATACAACTCCCTACAGGACATGAAATGGGGCTCTGCCTGATTTATGTATCCCCAAGAAACTTAATTCTGAGGCAGGTACCCACACATACAGTAGTATCAGAACTGAAATATTTCTGCCCACTCACTGAGGCTGAATTCTAAGCAGCTACAAGAAAAAAGAAACAAACAAACCCACCAAACAAACCCCACCCCGCAATGGAATTAAGGCAATTAAAAGGTATGTTCAGAACTGTTATTCTGAGTTTTGGTCCTGAAAATATATCCAAATAAATAAATTAACTGGGAGAAACCTCTATGTCTATATGCCCATTTAGAGAACGCATTTCTTCAGTATACTAGGCCCAAGAACAAGACCTAACACACTTAGAGCTGCCATATTTCTTTTTAAATAACTGGCAATCCTGGCAATAATCACAAAAGTAACATCATAAGCGCTTCCTAACATTTAGTAATGTTCTTTAATTTTCAGCATGTTGAAATGTCACAACTGTCAATTACCACTTATCATCAGTATTTCAATTACTGACATTAATTAAATCATACTTCTCATGCTTTGATATTTATATAGCTGAACCATTAAAACTGTCTCAAAAGTACCAGAGATATTTCCTTAAAACATTCTAATTAAAATGCAGAAAAAAAGAAGAGAAAAAGAAAAAAGAACCAAGTTTAACAAATGCTCTTATTTTCATAAAATTACTTTTAAACAGCCTCAAAAATACACTACCTTGAAGCTTACATACTGCAGGTGATTGGAATGTCTCTTTATTATTTGCTTGATTAGTTCGGGATGTGTAGCCCTCAAGTAAGATGTAGCTGGCTGATTCAGTTCAAACTCAAAACACCGCCAGAGATCAGGCATATGAAACACTTGGTTCCAGGTTCGGCAGACCTGTGATGCATGAGCACGATCCAGAAGGGGCAAGTACTGAAACACCTGCAGGATAATGTCTTGAAGCAGGTTCGCCCAGTCAGGACTCTGCACAGCTACGGTCTTCTCATCTATAACCTTGTGTCTCTTGGATTCTCTCTCAGTTGTCTCTTCAGATGCAGTGCTGTCAGCCTCGTTAGTTCTCCTTCCTCGTTTCATTCTATAAAAATAATAATAAGAAAAAAAAAATCTATATATTTTTGCAAATGTAACAGAACTGAAAGGAACAATATTAATCGAAAACTGCAGAGGCAAACAAGCATGTTGCCTGTAACCACGCTTTTGCAGGGTTCCCTCCCACCTATGAAGTGTGGTGTTTTTTTTTTTTAACAACAAAGTGAATTAATGTTAGTTTAAAAATAACATTACCATCTAAACAGTTATCTTTAATGTTACTTCTTTAATCATTAGCAGTGCCAATACATTTATAAGACTCTCCTTTCAGTGTTTCACTTTTCTGTTTGAGAACACTCTGAACCCAATCTGTTTTACTGTTTTGTTGATTATCACTCTGCTTTCCTACTAGTAGAAAGACACTCTTCTGAACAACTTTGTGAACACTGACATTCATATTGCTCCCCCAGTCCTATTTACCAGAAACAACATTTGGAACAGTGGAAGGCAAAAGGCAGGCAAGGAGGTAAATGATGTTTGCAGGCATTGCATCTTGCCCATTTTTATTCCCAGACAGGAATATCCTTTATTTTTTTCATTTATTCAAAACAGGTTACTTCTATATGCATCTCTTTTAAATCAGTATCCTTAAAAACATATTTCATAAAGAACATTGGTGTGCTTTTGTTTTTCCAACTAACTAGTAAATAGGTATTATGAAAGATTTCCAGTAACAGTCTGGAAGTTTCAACCCACATAAAAAGTTTACGGAAGAGTCTGCAAACATTCTTCAAAATCATATTAAATTCAGCAAGTCTGAGGCAAAAGGTTTTCTCATTCTCAACAGCATATATTTCTTCCATAGTGGTCTCAAGTTCTACCTTACTTTATTAAAGAGGAAAAAAACCCACCACTACATACATCCGAAATATATTCAGTGCTGAGTTTTGATCAAAGCATGCTCTTTTGTACATGCCAGCTTACAACTGAACTTAGCATCCAATAATTTATTTTTAAAAGCCTCAATGCAACCCACATAATGTCCTAAAGGACCAGGAATGAGACCTCATGTTAAACTACAAGACACTCAATTCTAGTCTCTAAAAAGCTAAGAGAATCCAGGGGTGAGGTGGGCTTGATATGTATAAACAACCCCCAGCCCCCATGATTTTTATGAGATAAACATGGACTTCACACACAGTTCCGGTTTAACATTCAAGGATTATCATATGCCTAGTTCATTTGGGATCTGGACAACTAACTTTCCCTGCTATGTACTACAACTAAAGTAAAAGTTTAGAAGTCTTTTTTAAAACAAAGTGTAATGCTAGATATAGAAGTGAAAAATTATACTGCTTTATCATCCAATGCATCATAGATTATTTTCCCAAAGCCAGCATCTCCTTACCTATCTTTGAAACACTTTAACCCTACCTACTCACAGGACAATAGCAAGCTTTCACTTAAGGTCTGAAGCTATTCATAAAATGATGCAAACAAACCTGAACATACTGTCATGAAAGACTGATAAGCAGAACTTGTCTCAATTTTCATTTTTTAATCCCAGTAGCACTTGGAGGCAATCATAAATTGAAAACACTACTGAGCAAAAATCACTACTTGCTTCCTGAGAACTATTTACTGTGATTCACAGCTCATGACTACCAGACTATGTGAAACATGACCCCTGTGCTGAAACAAGCTTTCCACCCAAGAAAGAGACCTGTTGCCAAACCGCTAACTTCACTGTTAGAGAAGGAAAGCAAGAAAACTGAATAGCGACTTGGAACCACCTGCAACTAAGAAAAAGGTGAAGGAACTGGATTTTGCAACTGTGAAAACTGAGTAACTAAACTTAATAACTAATGAAGAATTAGATTAGTAAATTCACTCCAAAACTGTCATGTTTGTGTTTGAGATAACTACTAAGCATAGTCCAAGTAATAAGCTAGTCTGAAATGCAGTATTTCTTTAAACTTTACGATAAACAGATATTCCAAACAACTACAACTAGGTTATAACGAGCAATTACTACACACAATCTCTTCACTTGCCAAACTTGGGATAGCATGTTTGATGCCTTTAAGTCTTTCCAAAGCCATCTCTTGTTAGTCTAAAAAAACTACAAGGTAACTGTTAAGACTGGGCTCTCCAAGCCTTCCTCTACAGAGATCCTGCCCCATCTTTTGCTATTAAGGTAATACATGTGCATGTATTTTCTAGTTAGGTAGCCTACTTTTATCACTGCATTAGGGTGTCAAGTTCTAGATTTTCTCCTTTATCACATTATATGGGCTATTGTCCATGTACAGTAGAGTTGATTCAGCATATATACAGCACATTTATATTACTGATATTTTCAAAGACACGAATATCAGATCTGACCCTTTTTTTTTTCTGCCCAGAAAAAAATAGGGGTGAGCTGCCACTGACAATATGACAAATATGACAATCACAACTATATGAACTTTTCAGCTGGAAAACCAACCTCTGAGACATGGGTGATAGAAGTGGGCCAGGTCACCAACAGCCAACTTACAAGCTGCACCTCTGAGCTAACTTTGGTTAAGTTCTAAGTAGTTAATATATGCTGGTTACAGATCAAAACCCACTCTTGAAGTTGTGGGATACTATCCAAAGTTTTTACAGACAGCCATTGAAGAAGAGAGACCGTATGGCCATCACTAGAGCTATACTGATGATGAATTTCAGGTGACAGTCTTCCAAGAAACTAAGATGCTATGTGTTCTAAGTAATAAGGCTTGAAAAGTAGGGGATGGGAAAAGACATTTCTGGGAAACTTTTTTTTTTTTACTGACATCTTGGATGCTCCTGTAATTGAAAAGAGAGTAATCCTAAGTTTTCAAAAAATACTTCCTTGCGGAACATTTTCAAAAGAGGAAAAAAAGTCTCAAGACTAAAAAATATTTGAAGAATTAGATAACCGTTTTGTCATCCAATTTCTAATTTGTTCAACTAAGTTTTGTGATCTTGTTTCAGCATTTAATAGATTAGAACCGCTTTTCAAAAACATAACTGGTTTCAACTTCTTAACATGTCTAACAAAACAAACAAAATTGAAAGAACATGTATTTGCCTATGCAAGTTTGCAGAGTCATCTACAAATTATTTATAAAAAAAGATAAGGCCACTTAAGAGAGTAACCCTTTCTGCAAACTTAATATAGGAACACAGAAATGCAATTAGGCAGTTCACTTTGCTGTATCTGATAGTCTGAAGTTCTAACCATTTTAAATCCAAGGCCAACAGAAATAACTTCAAAAAAGACAACACTGATGCAAATTTCCGTGCTAGCATATTACTGTATAGGTACAACCTATATTTCAATGTTTGTCACTTCTTACAATGCTTGAACCATCAATCTTGCTTTTAACTCTCTCTGGCATACTCAGAACACACTTAGCACTGATCAGTTTGGAAAAACTGCTGCTATGATCCACATTGCTTTAGCAGTCTAAGGTCTTGACAGAAAGCGGGGGGGGAAGCCAAACCAAAACAACAAAAATACCCAACTCTACCGGGACACAAAGATGAATGAAATCTGGATCACGGAATCCCAGAATTACTATGGTTGGAAGGGACCTTCAAGATCATCAAGTC